AAATACAGAGTACTTTAGGTTGGCTACAAAGTAGGAGCTAACAACCCTTTGTCCTCCATTTATTAACATGTTAATATGTTCTGGCATTAGACTAAAGATTTTATATTTTGTCATTTGATGCTTAGTTATTATCACTCTTCATATATGAAGACAAACGAGGGTGCAATCACTTGCTCTTTTAGGAGCTGGTAGTAGTAGATCCAGGACTGAATGCTGGATCCGCTGCACTCTAAGGTCTGTAAATTTTTTACACTTTGTATTTTTCCTTTTCCGGGAACAAACCCAAGTCCTTTCACACTTGCGTGTGTTGGGCCACTGGGCAACACTTTACCCAATTTTACAAAAATTAAAGACAGAGAGGTTCCCTATCCCTTTTGGTTTACTATTATGAAAGTGTACACTTAAAAATAACAGTTTATTTCAAAACATGATGGCAGCAGTTTTTGAAGCAGCTTTTACTCACGAACATTAAGTGATGGGGCCAGATTCACATACATAATACAAATGTATCTGAAACGTAAACCTAGTATTTTCTGCTTTAGAATAATAAATAATGGAGGAAACTATTTTATGTGATTTATATACGGAGGCGTGACCATTAGGCGAAGTATTTTTAAAACACATTCATTTCTTATGCTTCTGCTCAACCTCATAGATGAAACAGATTGAAAATGATCTGTGTATGATTAGAGTATGAATGGATTTTCATTTTCTAGTAATTTATTGTTTTCTCCTCCCTTGTGTCCAGCCCAGGTGTAAAAAAAAATCTAGTTTTCTAATGACATCTATATGGCATCTGGCTTGGATAGGGGATTTTAAATCAGCAGCAAATAAATTTAGAACAAACAAAAATGTTGCGTGTTCTTTAGTATTTAATGTAGGTGGAAATGATTTTTAAATAACATGATATATGTATCTAACATTCAGGAGTACTCTGAATTGTGACTTTTTAAAATGGGGCACATAATGTGTGGACATTCATATTCTCAACAGTTCCAGTGGGCTGCAGAGTATAGCTAAGCCCAACTCCCTGTACATTCTCTGTACAAGTATCATCTACATTTGGACCAAGTCTATGAGGATCTTGCCTCTGCCCACACCAACTTCTTTTCTCACTTCCTTGTCTTTGAATTTGGCTTGGTGTCACCTCTGTTTTGTCTGCCTTCCACTGCTGCTATACTCTTTGCAATCTTACAACTCCGTAGAGAAACTGGTGGGAAAGACTATTTTCATTCAAAGTACTATAGTAATTATTGGGATAGTGATGGGAATTCTTTACACAGCGCTGTTTTCTGAAGGGCATGATATTATTACTAGTTAAAGAATTTTCCAGGTTTACTGGGAAAAAAAATTAAATCCATCTCTGTATCCTCATTTAAAGAATTCAAGAAAGCTCAGTAATAGTATAATAATTTACTGCTGACTTAAGATGGTATCTTTTTTAGGTGATTTTCAAAAGGGATTTTGCTCTCGTAAGACACAGAGAATACTTTCTGGATAATGTCAGAACAACTTGTGATATTGTATGATTTTGTGAGTCCTATAAAGGCTCCTTAAATATAGAGAGATGGTACTACCTGCACATGTTCTTAATGAGATTAAATTTTAATGGGAATAATTTCCATTTTTCACTCCTACCTAAAGCCTGTTTTCTTCTTTAGCAATTCCTTGCAAGCTTTTTGTCTGCTGTTTGGTTATTGCTGCCATCTAATGTCTCAAAATAAAACTGCAGTGGGTATCTTTTTCAAGATTCTCATTTTTCTGCAATTTATGAAGATAACTGAGAGTATAGGGAAGCTCAGACTTTCCCTCCGAAGGTCTGATCATTGACAACTGAAATAAATTAATAATAATGGAGTAGCAAGAGAAACAGCAAACACATTTATTGACAAGTGTATGTGCATGAGAGCCACACAAAATATAAAATTCAAATAAAGAACCAATGGTTGAAGCTTGAGTACCCTTTTTATTGAGGAGGGAGACATGGATAATCTAGGCCATTTTAGAGGGGTAGGGTAAGAGGTTTTTAGGGGAAGTAACTAAACCCAGAGAGTGACCTAGGAAAGAGTTTCTCTAGGATGTACGTATGATATTTGTTAGTCTCCTCTGTGATACGAGTTTAATCTTCCTTGGTTAATGAAATTTCAGTAAGAAGATTGAAGGCAGTTGGGTTCTTTAGTGAATCTGGTCTTCAAGTAGATAAGGTAACCTCAGATAAAAGCCTTGTCCAGAATCTGCTGATCTCCAAATGCCTTTAAAATTACCAGCATTTCAAGACACCCTATTTTGGAGTATTGTTTTTCTGAGTACCAGTAAGGGCAACAGTTGTTTATGTTTCTATACTATTAAGTAATAACATTCTGAAGTAATTACTTCTTAGGGAAAGATGGTACACTAGTAAAAGGTGCAACCAAAAAAGCAAGAAGGTATTTGGAAGTCCTGATGCCCACTATAGGATAAACGACCACTGTGATTCTTGAGTGTATTTCTCTTCATACAATAGAGTAGATGCCCTGAAAGGCCAATTCTAACCTTAACATTGTGTTTATACTTATAAAAGCTACTATTGCTTGCTTTGGACTGAAGCTCTCAGTGTTTGTTCGCTTGCTTTATGGAGTTGTGTTTATACATTTTTATTGTCTATTCAAGTCAGCATTGATAGCTTCTTTTGCTCAATTAGCAGAGACCATCAGAAGACTCCAGTTAATGCCACCTGTCTAGAAGAACACTTTCCTGCTTAATTATCCTTGAGCTTCCTAGCTCCACTGTGCTACTTGCAAAGTTCTCAGATTTAAAACAAAAGCAAAAAGACACACCATCTGTGAATTTTAAGATTTATAATTATTTATTTTTCTTTAGCGGTTTGGAATATAGAATGAATACTTCCATAGTTAGGAAGAAACTTTTGGAAAGTTTTCTAGATATGAACTAGTTAAGGGAGATGGAATTTGCTGTAGATGATGTTTTAAAAAAATCATAACAAATGTTCCAATCTAGCTAAATCTTTCCTGAAGATTCTGTTAGGTTGAACTGACCTTATATATAATACATAGACTATATTCCTCATAGTTATACTTTAAATAATGATTCATTCTTTATAATTCTGTAATGGTGAAAGCAAACATTAATGGACATAAAACCTTACTGTTAGCTAGTTTTGATTTGATTATTAGCAGAGATTTGATTGTTAGGACCCCTGGTGGAAGAAGAACTTACTGAACAAAATAAAATGAATTTGGACTTCTGTTATTGTGTTTAGATTCTACTCCTATCAAGATGGACATGAATTCTAATTAAGCACGGTTTGCTTTCCCATCATGTTTTGCTTTCATATTTTCAAACAGATGTTAGTGATCTTTTATAAGCCATCCTGACTGAATTTTGCAAGTTAAATTTAAAGACTCAAGGCCCCCAATGACCAGCCTTAACTATAAAACCATTGTTGAGTTCCTTTGACCTGCTAATCTTGCTAGTCTATTGAAAAAGTTACTATTACTCCTGTAAGGTTTATCTGGCACAATTCCTCTTAATCTTTAGCAGACTGGTCATTATTTTTATTATCTTTTTGCAATTGAAGCCTTTCTTTTTTCTAATACTTCAGTTTTATTAAACCTTATTATTAGATTTTTATTTATTATTCAGTTATTAATGATATTTTCTTGAATTGAATTCTGGATGAAGGCATCTGATAACTATAATGTGGTAGTTAAGAACCAAATTTCCTGTATTCTCAGTTTCCTTTATGACTTTGGGCAGTTATTTAACTGCTATATGCTTCAGTTTCTAATGTACAAAACAGATAATAATAGAGACTCTTTAAGAGATTTTTTTTTGTGGTAATCAAATGTAGATAGGTACATTCAGAGATTTTAAAAAATTTATGTTCCTAGCCAGGACACTGGTAGCTCATGCCTATAATCATGAGTACTAATAAGGCTGGGATTTGAGGCTGTCCCTTCAAAGCTAGCAAGGGCAGAAAGTTCATGAGACTAAAAACCAGAAGTGGAGCTGTGGCTCAAATGGTGGAGTGACAGCTTTGAGCTAAAAAGCTAAAGGATAGTGCCCAGACTACTCTGAGTTCAAACCCCAGTAATAGAACCAAAAAAAAAAAAAAAAAAGTTACTTGGGATTTGCTTCTCTAGGGCTAGAGAAAAACCACAGAATATCTGAGTACTAAAAAAACTTAGGCCTAACTATATATAAATCTATTCATATTGTGTCAATTAGCCTTACATATTGCCCCAACTTTGCATTAGGTAATTATTAAATAAGGAATCAAGGAAAACTTAAGATATAACCTTAGCCTTTGGATGAGTTATCAAAGGCATTTGGTCTGACCTTGCTCTCTTGATTGCCCAGATTTCTCAGATAAAGCCAGACTCTTCAGGAATGGGTCTTAAATGTGATGAAATAACAATTTCATTCTTTTAATTAACTGCCTTTTTCTTTCCATTAGATTATAAGTTCCACAGTGTGGAAGCTGTCTTTTTCCTTTTGCTTTTTCTAGTGCCTGGCAGCAAATGTCTTGCCCCCAAAATGTACAATAAATATGTATTATGTAACCATATAGCCTGTCAATTAGGGATGAACAAAGATGCATATTGTGTGTGACTTATTCTAGGTCACACATTTTTCTGGAATAGCTGTAACTAGAACTCAAGTTTCTAGTTTCTTACACTGTGAAGATCTAAGATGTAAAAAAAAATTTGCTGTATTATAGAAGGTGAATACACATCACCCCAAGGAGCTGTGGGAAGTGAGAGTTAAGTAGAAGTCTTCTTGACAGGGATTAGATGATAAGTAGAGACAAAGTCTCAGTCAGAAGAGATGTTTGAACTATGCTTTTAAAGATGGACAGAAAAGTGGGGGAAAGGTTATAGCAGACATTTAAAAATACATACATTGAATCACATGTACCTTTTAGTCTATATAGCTTAATTTCATTATTTCAATAAAGTTTTTAAATATGTAAGTCATCTAATGATCTCATCTCATTTCAGTGAATAATGTGGGAATGTCATATGAGTATCCTGAGTACTTTTTGGATGTTCCTGACTTGGACAATGTGAGTTTTTCTTTGCTTATTTTCTGAACACAAAGAATACATGCAAACATTAATGAAAACTATGTGGTGTAGTGATATATACAGAGAGGCCTTGGAGTTCAGCTGCCTGAGGTTCATGCACTTGCTCTTCTCCTTATTACTTGAATTAGTCTAGAATGGGCCTAGACATATTTGCCTCAGTTTCCTCACTGAAAGAACAAATAACTTCATAGGAGTGCTAGAAAGATTGATTGAGAAATATTTATAGTTTCATATGTTGCCAAGATCAATAATAGCTCTAGTGAGATTTTTTTTTGTTTTTTTGTTTTTTGTTTTTTCCTGGTCTTGGGGCTTGAACTCAGGGCTTGGGCACTGTCCCTGAGCTTCTTTGTATACAAGGCCTCGTGCTCCACCACTTGAGCCACTTCTGGCTTTTTCTAAGTAGTTATTGGAGATAAGAATCTCACGGACTTTACTGCCTAGGCTGGCTCTGAACCCCAATCCTCAAATCTCAACCTCCTGAGTAGCTAGGCTTGTAAATGTAAACCACAGGTGCTTGGCTCTAGTTTTATTTATTTTTATTTTTTATTTTTTGTTAGTCATGGGGCATGAACTCAGGGTTTGAGCACTTTCCCTGAACTTTTGTGTTTAAGGCTAGTGCTCTACTACTTTGAGCCACAACTCTACTTCATGTTTTCTGGTAGTTAATTTGAAATAAAAATCTCATGGACTTTCCTGCCTGTGCTGGCTTTGAACTGAAGTCCTCAGATCTCAGCATCTTGCATAATAGCTAAGATTGCAGGCATGAGCCACCATTATCCAACATCTAGTTTTATTTTTTATTGTATCAGAACAGCTCTATTTAACTATTGGGAGTTTCAACATCAGTTTAAAAGTTATAAATATATTAATCTATAGTAACATGGTTGATTCAAATAAATCAGCTCTGCCAGAATGAAAGCTGCATTCATAATCCTTAGATTAGGAAAGTATATCACTGAAGGACTATGTAAAAATTTTAAAACAATTGAAAATCTTAGATTTAACCATTTCTACTGTCTATATTAGCAGAGAGGAAATTGCAAAAGCATTTTATTTATTTTAAATTTAATGTGTCTTTCACTTCCAAATTTTACTTGCATACTAGCTGAATAGATGTTTTTGTTAGAAAAATACTATAGCACTAGAGTAAAGTAAAATCTATCGCTGTATTCCAACATTCCAACTTGTTTTTCATGGTCTCTGTAATACCCTAGAGAAACTTCCAGTGCATCGGATCACATAAGTGTGTGTGTGTGTGTGTGTGTGTGTGTGTGTGTGTGTGTGTGTGTGTGTGTGTGTGTGTGTCATTTCCATCATTGTATCTATACAAAACTATCATTTTGTTTTGCAGACTATCAAGAAACTGATAAATACAAATATTCTTTCTGTTTGTAAGGTAAGTAGCTCATTTTATAAGTCTCATCCTTTTTTGGTCTTATTTACAAACATTGATATATAGTCAGTTGGTTCACTTTGAGTCAACTCTTGTTTAGAGTAAGCATATATTTCAGTCTTCTGTGTGAAGCATTGTGGTTGGTACTGGGACAGTGAAAACTAACTTAGGCTGTAGATTGATTAACTTAATCTAATCCCCCTGTTCATCACTGATAAATTGTTTTCATTTTGTCTCCCCTGTAATCCATTTAAACTAATAACTTAAATGTTGTGACAAGGCATGGCACTTTTATGGGGAGTAGAAGACTATAATGAGAGTGATTTTTTTTCTATTAGCCACATATAATAATCAGCCTAGTGCTCATTACTGTGTGTGTTATATCCATGACACATATCATAGAAAGACAATACAAGTATCTGCTATCACATATAAATAGCAAAACTGGTTTTACTTGTTTTTCTAAACAATAACTATGAAAAGTTACCACTCTTTTATATACACCAGAATTGTGTGTGTGTGTGTACCAGAATATTGAAAAATAATACAATATTACCCGAGGTTATAATTTTTATGGACTGGGGCAGATACTTTAAAATTGAATACTTCACAAAAAGCCAGATACATTTTTAGTAACCCATATATTAGTTCTTTATAAAGAAATAAAAAAGCATTCAAAACTATTAAACTTGGTCAAATAAATATAAATAAGAATTATTTATAATTTTTACTTTATGACATAATCTGTGATTTTACATGGTTAATATTAACTTCAGAACCTAGTATTAGTATACTCTACCCTACATGCTATATGTATTTTAGGTGTATTCATTTTCTTAATATGAATATTTGTTACAGAACCTCATGAATTATGTAGAAAAATGTTAAGTAATTTTGTAAAACAAATAATCACTCTCACTGTATCTTCTTTACTATTATTACAGGGACTTTTTACGCATAAGATTAGTAAGGTAAATGAGTAGCAAGTGAAACCATGAAAAGCTTTGGAACAAGACTTGCATGCATAAAACTAAGGCTTTTGAATGTGGTTAATAGGAATTACATGTGTGTAGTTTTAAAGGCATTTTCCTTAGCATATTTGCATAACTGTAATCATCCTTCAATAATCTGTGTGAAGTTCAATGTAATTAAATAACTACCATTTGCTCTCTGTGTTGGACCTTGGTAAATTACTTAACCTCTGTGCTTCAGGGTTTTTTTAATCGCAGTTTCAAGATGATGATAATTCTCTTTATCTCAAAGAACTGATCATTAAAGTAATGTGTATCAGCCTCTTAGAACCAATATTCAGATCACATGAAGGTCCCCCAAAATATCAGTGTTCTTGTTATTGCTAAACGCAAAGCTGTTTGAAGATTTTTTTGTAAATGTATCCAATTGTGATATATATATATATATATATATATATATATATATATATATATATATATATATATATATATATATCCAATATATCCAAGTGCTTACATTTTATTTCACTAGGTACATTTTGTCTCCAATTGATTTTGTAAGGTTTTTATTCCAGATCTACCAGTAGTTTCTTTTATAACGTATGTTTGTCTAAACTTACATGTTAGCATAATTTTAAAAATGCTGGACTCCTCTCTCTCCCAGAACATTTATTTTGACTGGCCATCTACAGAATACTAATGGTAAAAGGTCTAGGTCTTGCCCTTAATCTGGGAGAACTAGTTGATTTGCTGTGCTCCAGAGCCAGACTGTGTCCTTCACTCAGCATCTGAGCACACATCAGTATGTGCTGCCAGTGATCACATCACATCCATGCTTCAAGACCAGCCGATGCTGACGGCTGCCCTGAATTAAACAGCACAATCCAACAGCACTATAATGTAGCTTGCTCTTCAAAAAATTAGGATGAAATGAAAATGCCATACTTTTCCTTGATAAATTATACAATGCTTCTCCCTCCTCTTCATTCCTTTTCTCTTTCACATTACATCTTATTCCCATAAGATGGCTTCATGAAGACAAATGCTAATTTCTTAAATATCTGTGAGCCATATTGATGGCAAGTGTCATCAACAGAAAAACTGGGATTTTTGTATGAATTTCTCATTTAAAATACTTCTTCATTAAGCCAAATAATCATCCCTTAATTTCTTAATATAAATCCCAATTTTCATCTACTTTTGTGATAATGCACTTTGGCTTTTTTTTTTTTTTTTTTTTTTTTTTTTGTTCCAGTCCTGAAGTTTGAACTCACAGACTGGGTACTGTCTGTGAGCTTCTTTTGCTCAAGGCTAGTACTCTACCACTTGAGCCACAGCTCTGCTTCTGGCTTTTTTTTTCTTTTTTCTTATTTTGGTTATATATTGGAGGTAAGAGTTGCACAAACTTTCCTGTTCAGGCTGGCTTCAAAGCATGATCCTCAAATCTCAGACTTCTAAGTATCTAGGCTTACAGGCATGAGCCACCGGTTCCTGGGTTGTGATATACACTTTTAATGAAAGCAACACAAAAATCTTGGTTTATGGAATCACTAAATATCTGGAAGAAAGTTTGGATTTTTCCATACTATAGATAGGATAGTGTGTTATTTCACCACTGTAACACAGTTGACTAGCGACCATTCATACATGAACGGTTTCACTGGAGCATTGGAAACAAGTGATGTACAATGGTGAACTAGTTTAGAACAGGATTCTGAGATACTCAAGAAGACCATGAGCCATAGAAAGCCTGAACATAAAAATGAGATTTGACCTGATGAATGTTTTAGAGAGTTCTAATGGCAGAGTACCATGCCATTGTGTATTTTGTGGCAAATGTGTTTATCTTATTTCTACTGAGAAGCAGGTTTTCACCTTAGGGGAGTTTTATATGTGACAACCATAGGTTTAGGACTCTCTCATGATGTTACCATTTGCTCTATAGGATTCTTAATCTATTGTTCTTTAGTTGAGTGTAGTATATTGCCAGCACCAGAACCACATTTTCAGTAGCAATGGCTTTCGGGAGCCCAGGGGTAACTTAAAACCAGATGAAAACTTGTCTGGCTACAGAATCTTAGAAGGTTTTATAGTTGCTAGACATCAGGGTAACTAGGATGTAAGTATCTCTAGCCTCAAGCCACAATAAATGTATTAAAAAGATTCTATGAGAAAGAGAACAGCCTCTTCTCACTGTCAGGTTGGTCTAAGATTTATCTTCTCACCAAACTGACTAAGGAGAATACCAAAAAAGATTGTAGAATATCAGCTTACCCTAATTTGACTCTTGTGCCCCTAATTTGGGGATGTGTGCCGGGTAGGGCCTCAGTCTCTTGTTATAAGCCCTCTGCTATACCATGAACTGAACATTCCTTCAGGTCCACATGATTCCATAGGGAGGGACTAGGTCACGTGATGATAAAAACCACTTAAGTACCACATTCCAATAGGAATATTAAAAGTAAAATATCTTGAAGTCAAAGGAAAAGAAGGCCGCCACTAAAGTGATGGTGATGTGGTCCCAGGGAAAATTGAAGAAGAAATACCAGAGTATTTTTTAGACCCCACTGATGCTTAATTGTAAACAGTCTCCCAGGCCATTTGGCTCTTTGATTCCATCCATTTGTTTCCTTTTTTAATCTTATCCAATAATTTAGGTTTATTTCTTTCTTCGCTCTTACTGGCTTATTAACTAGGCCTTACCAGGGATGCTAGAAACCTTGTTGCCTGCTCACCCACTTTTGCTCTCAAATCCCCTAAGGATAAATTCAGTCTTATCCTTGTTCCCCATAGAGCAGTTTAGTAATGTGGAAGTTCTATGTAGGTAACCGATATGGCAGTAAGATCAGTTTCAAATTGAAAGAGAAGTCCTACCAACTGGGGCTTTTTTGCTTTATATATTCTGTGGCCAAAATCTTAGTTAAATCATAATTCCCATTAAGAACATCCTTCACTCCAGAAAAGAGTTTAGAGGTAATTAAACCTCTATTGAACCATACACACTTCTAAAATAGTACCTGTTTTATACCTGAGGGATTTTCAACCTAGAATACTGAAAGAGTTTGCAAATGAAACTGTTGAATGTTATTGATTACTCTTGGGAAAATCCTGGAAAATTGAAGAAGTACCACAATTCCAGATGCACGCAAACAGAGGGCTATTTCAAACAGGTTGCACACTACTTTCTTATCAATCCAAAGATAAAAATAGACCTAGTTTGTTTCTGATTTGGGGTTGCTTCACATCTGTCAAATTTGGGGTTGCCTTCCTCCTCCCTGCTACATTTTTCTTTGATTTCTTCAATCATACTTTTAGGACTCATCACACCTTTCAGTGATGAGCATTGTTTCAAACAGTATTATTACCTGAACTGCCAGCAGCAGAGAGGGAAAACCATTTCTTCCCTCACTTCTCACCCCTGTGTCCCCTACTGGGTTTGTTCAGTAAGTGTAGAGCTAGGGAGCGGCCGTTCCAACAGTTAAACCTCTCAGAAAACTTCTAGCCTATGGTTCTAATAAACAGGGGGGATGTTCAGACTTTCCACATTACCTTTCTTAGAGCGGAGAAGGAAATGGGTGGGAGTATAGTTCTAAATAAACTTTATGAGCAACCTCCACTGATAGTGAAATACCACTGAGTCTCGAATACGGAAGAATAGTTTCAAGCAGAGGATATTAATTTAGTACTTCCTAAAATAAGGGCTTGAAATCATATCTTCTTAGGATTGAAGGTGGGTGCCAAAAATAACATGAGCCAAAAATGGGTTCCCTTTCTCTTTCCTGGCCAAGGATGAGAAACCAGTGGTTTTGTAGATAAGATATGGCTTTCTCAATGTATTTTGGTTGGCTTTGTTTTCAAAATTAGGAAATTGCGAGTGGGTTAGAGGGATTAGGGAAAAATGTTGAAAGGGATTACATTGATCAAGACACATTGTTCATAAACAGCTTTGTTGAATGGCACCTCCTTTGTACAACTACTTAACGATAACTTTTAAAAAGTGAGGAAATCATACACGTAGATTTTTTAGATTCT